AACAGACAATGAATGTCTATTATGTTTGATTATGAGCCATCCTAAACTTTGTATAGTTGCTTTAATTTAGGGAGAACATACACATAGTAAAAAGAACTTTCAAATATTGGAGGTCATGTACATTAAAACAAAGCAACCCACACTCAACAAAATTACATTTCAAACTAGTCACAACACATTATATTGCATCCAAACATATGGTTCTGTTGTTAATATTTTGTTCTCTCATGTGGTACATAGAACTGCATCACAAATTTACAACCTGTGTCTGCTATTCCATGACCATTATTGTCACAGAGCAACTTCTATGTAAACATAACAGGATATCATCTTTGATGGTGAATATCTTTGTTGAAATGTCCATATAACCACTCTAATGATGGTTCATGTGAGCTGAAAGCTTAGGTCGAGGAAGAGCATAATAAAAAAATACAAATGCTGGACAGTTTTTGTTTTTATTTTAACCCAAAATTAAAGCAACTATATAAAGCTTAGAACGGCTCATGATCAAACATAACAGACATTTGTTGCCTGTTATATTTAACAATATATGTGTGAATAATGATCTGCTGCCCCAATACTATATATATATATATATATATATATATATATATATATGAAAAGTTTTTATGGCATGTATATTTATGGGTAAAAGTGCGCATTATCAGGGATAGGCACTATGTAAGGACAGTAGATTGCATTCAAGCATGAAACAGACTGTCACTGCACTGTGTCCACTTTATATATATATATATGTGTGTGTGTGTGTGTGTGTACAGGGTGCAATGAGCAAATTGTCACCATTTTAGATTTTTAATTTTTCTCATGTGCACAGTATATAGTAGAGTCAGTTGGGCACTGTTAGAAAAAATGCACCATGACACAATTCACTCTGCCAGAAATTTGGAAATGGCATACTGTATTGCTTGGCATTCATACCAGAAGCTACAATACAACCATTTCAGAGTTTTGGAGTATCAATCTGAGGACAGTGCAGAGGATTTGGAAAGAGTTGGATGATATATCCAGTCAACATCATGGGGTCTGGAGTGATCACTAGCGATGACAACATTATATTTCCTATTATCTCACCACAGGGCCCCAGACTCAACACAGAGGCCTAAATCAAGTGCCTTGAGGAGGTAGTATTGCCTTGGGTCAGGAGGGCGGCTGCTATGTCTGGCAACAGAACTCTGCACCATGCCACACAAGGAAGAGAACCTAGTCATAGCTGTCAGACAATTTCTGCGACCACATCACCCCTTACATCTGGCCATTTAACTTCCCAGACTTGCAACTCTTTTGATTATTATGTGTTGGGCACAGTTGAATAAAAAAAAAAACAACAAAACTCCTTGTAATACCAAAGATGAACTGAAGGCAAGGATTATGGCAGCATTCACCAATTTAAACAAGGATACTGGCCAGAAGAGCTGCAGGAGATTCTGAAGTCATCTGAAGGGTGCGGTTGGAGCCAATGGCAATTTTACTGAATAAATTTACTCTTTAGTATTTTAAGATATTTTTGTGTGATTTGGTAAATATATCTTTTAAAGTGAGATGTCAGTGTTATTTTAATTTTTGCATAATTTAGATGATGATTTAAACTTCTCCAACAATCAGGCTGATAAATGTAATTAATACTGTTTTATTTAAAAAACACAGTATTTACTTAGATAAATTGCATCTATTAAAATAACATATAAACAGAAAATATATTAAATATATATCTGTATGTGGGTGTGTGCTCATATGTGTGTGTGTGTGTGTATATATATATATAGAGAGAGAGATGCAAGCATCTCTATATGTAAAGAAAATCTACTGAGTTGTCCAGAAGGTTCATGCTTATTTTTAAGGGAAATTAAAACACAAAACAAAATTATGCCATTAAATATTTATTCAATTAAATATGGACCATTTTGTTATACAACCATTCTCCATTTTTCCTTCAACTTAAAGATTCCATCTTCCCAGAATTTTGGTGGTTTCTCAGCAAAGAACTCGTTAAAGTGTTTTTTTTTTTTTTATGCAATTCAAAAAATTAAAATTTTTACCATTGAGATTATTTTGCCAAGGACCTGAATGAATGAAAATCTGAAGGTGCAATATCTGGAGAATATGGCAGGTGGGGTAACATATCCCAGCCAAGTCATCACTATGGTGGAATGTACAACAAACCAATCATTCATCCTCCTTTGAAGTTGAATCATGTAATTAAGTGTGTCAACTGAACCAAACAGTCTATGATATTGGCTTTCTAGAAAATTCTATTCATGGATGAGGGTAAAGTAATGCTGCATGACTCTGATAACTCTGTATATGGGTCATGCGTGAAGGAGGAACAGAACTTGTTTTGTTGAGGCATCAAAAAATTAGCCAGAGGGATTATGCTTTAGATGGGAGTGATCAATAATTAATCAGTTGGCCCCTGGAAAGTGAATGTGAGCACTGAATTCTTAAAGATGAACCTTCAGATAAAGCTTATATGAAATTCAAACAAAAAGGTATTTTTAATGCAATGCTTCAGCCTGTGCCACTAATACAAAGAATACTTAGGTAACTTATGCTTTTAAAAAAATGCTTATGGTGTGGCTACCATATTCCCTGGATCTAAACCCCATGAAGAACCTTCGGATCATTGTCAAGAGGCATGTTTATGAGGGCAGCAAGCAATTAACTCTGAAGAAATTATCTTCTATTGTTCATTAGAGAAAATAGAAATTATATCAGTAAATATTACTTTTCTGCTTCTTTGTTGCACCCAGTTTGTCAAACAGTTATATATATGTGTATATATTATATATATAAAATATTGTTGGGTTGTTCACTGGTGTCCATTTTTTTTATCCTTTCTTATGCTTACACTGATATATATAGATTATTGTAGATTGATGTGTTTTTATGTTTTATCAACCCTTTGTGGATTATTTAAAATCAAAATATATTTTAGATTGTAAGATTTTTTTTCCTTTGTGTTTGAATATTTTATTAACTTTTTTTGCAAATAACAATGATTTTTACAGATACAAGTCCTATTATTTAATCCGTAGCTGGGGGAGTAGATGAATTCATACCTTTCCTGAAGATATTTGCACCTATGTGAATGGAAGGAACCTTACTGAAATTCAAACTCAGGTCTCCAATTTCTCATTTCAAGCCGCTATCAATCAGATCATCTGCACATGCACAACTTCAGAAAAAGTGGAATTGATGAAAAATTATATATATATATATATATATATATATATATATATATATATATATATATATATATATATATATATATATGAAGAAATATAGTCTTAAGATGTACTATGTTTATGGGATAAAGTGCTCAATATCAGAGATAGAGCACGGTAAATATGAAAGTGAACTTAGAAGTCAGCACTTAGAGGCGACAGTCTGTTTCCTGCTAGATGCAATGGCTTGATGATTGCATCTAGCATGAAACAGGCTGTTGCCTCTAAGTTGACTTCATGTTCATTATATATATATATATATATATATATATATATATATATATACATACATACAATCATAAACTTACTCTTATTTCCTGAGGTGGTCTTTAATTTTGACATATTCAACATACACAAAAGATCTATAGTTAAGCAAAATTTTATGATTTTCCAAACACAATGATTTTTCCACATACAATATCTACTATTTAACCGATTGCTGGAGGGAAAGACAGATTTGTACATTTCCCGAAGGTATTTCCGCCTAAGTGAATGTACAGAACCTTACTGGAATTCAAACTCAGCTCTCCAATTTCTCATTCCAAGCTGCTATCCACCACACCACCTGTACATTGACAGGTAACAGAGAAAATTGGAATGGGTGAAAAAAAAAAAAATTTTTTTTATATACTCAAGTATAAAATTGAATGAGGTGGTTTTAGATTTTGACATATTTAACATACACAAAATATCTATATTTAAGCAATATTTTTATGATTTTTCCTGCCACTAGTGTTATAATTATTGTAATTATTCTGGTGTGTGTGTGTGTATATATATATATATATATATATATATATATAATATATATATATATATATAATGGAACACTCTTTGCAATTTATGTGCAATAGATATAAAAAGGAGTTGTCTACTGGCTGTGCAAACCTTAGCTTGACAGATGTCCTCAAATTGAGATAAAAGAAGCAAAAGATTTGTTTTATTTTTTTTTAAAAGTATTTTGATGTTGGTGAGGAAATGGTGAATTCATCAAATATAATTGGTTTTCTTTTCATATCCATGTACCCAATGTACACAAATATCAGAAAGTTTATACACAAAAATAAAAGATTTTGACCTGGAAAATTTCATAATGGGAAAATATTCAAATTTGGAAATGCTAAATTTAATGTTTGGTATTTGGGTAAATAAAAATCAATCCAAATTCATGTCTAAAGAAAAATTATAAATTTTTTTTTATGAATTTTAGTGAGGAAGATTAGAAATGACAAATGAATTTCTGAATGAAACTAAAAAAACAAAAAAAAAACTAAAGCTGACATTGTTACCCAAGTCAATAGTACCACAATATGGTATAAATGAATAATAAAACACTTCTTGAGGCTCTTATATGAATAATTAACTATAGGTACCACAGTAGCAAACTCAATCATCATTGGTTACTGCATTCAAGCATTTTTCTGTCAAAATTATGTTACACTTATAATAAAATATAATTAAGCATGTCATTTACATGTTACATTCATAATAAAATATAATTAAGCATGTCATTTACATGTTAAACTTATAATAAAATATAATTAAGCATGTCATACAAATAGAAAACTCCTGAAGAGTCACTCTGGCAGATCCTTTCATACTAATACAGGTGTCCATCAAGGCTCCATCCTTGGCCCAACTTTGTTTTTTTATTTTCATTAATGACCTTGCCGAAGGTATCAGCTCACAACTTGGTATCTAAGTTCTATTTTAAACTAGTCTGATGGGAAACTAAATTGCAACATTGTGAAAAGCTCACAGCCATATTATGTTGAAATACCAGTTCTGGTATGATCACTGAAGCTAAGCAACATTGAGCCTGGTCAGTACCTAGATGGGTGACTGCTTGGCAATATCAAATGCTGTGATGGATAATGGCTCAGAACTGGAAATCGGAGAGTCGAGTTCCAATTCCAGTCCAGTTCGTTATACCCACTTACATGCAAATACCCTTGGGAAAGACATGAATCTGCCATTTCTCCCTCCAGCTATGGGTTAATTAGTAGGACATGTATCAGTAAGTTTTTATTATAACCAAAAAGATTCTTACAATCTAAGAATATTTTCAGGCTTTAAATAACCTGCAAAAGGTTGATAAGCCCCCCCCCCCAATAAAATCAATGCAACACTGAAGGAGAATGTTGATTTTGACTCAAATGTAGTATATGAATCTGAGGGGGTTGTTGACATTCTGGTAAAATTTTCAAAGCCATCTTGCAGTGTATTAACACTTACACCAGTGTACCATCTGTGTCTGAGCTTGAGACTGTGACACCTGTTATGATATGGTTTAATTAGAGACATTCAGGAGAGGCTTTAAGAGGTTGGATGGCCATAACAGGGAATCACCATATATATCAGATTTGACACTCCTATCTGTGTATAATAGGATCTGGACAGTCATGTCATACATATGCTTGCAAGATTCATATTTGCTGCCCAAGTGGAATCGAACAGACAGATCAGAGCAAATGTAGCTATAGGAATGTCCACATGGGTTATTGAGAATCTGTTTTATTTAATCATTTCACACCAAACAAGGCAATAAAGCCACTAAGATGCAAGGGACTGCTGAGTGTGAAAGAATATGAAAAAACGAAAAAAGAAAAGAAAACATCATTAAGGAAAGAGAACGGGAATTAAGAAGACAGCAGATAACAATTGACATTGCATTTAAATTTTTGAAGATCAATGTTGAATTGAATGCAAGAAACTACAAGAGAGTTTCATGAGCAAGAAGTGTGAGAAAAAACTGTTAACATAGAAATTATAGTTACATCATTTCAATCAGAAAATGCTTAAACCTATATGCCAATCAAATACTGTGCTTAAATTTATACATTACTATCAGATGTATATTTGACTGCTTTTGATTACCATTTAGTTACCACCATCACTCTACACATACAAGGAATATTGCTATTAACGTAGGATAAACATTAGTAAAGAGTATGTAGATAATACTAAAATTTTATATAGTTCTCCTTGTAACAAAAGAGTTGAAAATACTTGAAGAAATTCTGATACCAAACTAAAAAGATAACTTAACATGCAAAGGCATTTGCAAAGGTGTTTAAAAATTTTTATTTCTTTATCCTCAGATGCTATCAAATTTTATGACACATGTTCTGAAAAATAATTAAATGCTCATCACAAAATGACATGACCTGTATCTCATACTTGCATTTTTAAATTAGAATTACAGCATACCTAAAAATGACAGAATGTTTAATTGCAGCATTATTTTAGATCATAAAAACAATTGGAAGATATTCAGGAATACATATTTTTTCTTTTGAATCATTTCACCCCAAAACAAGGCAATAAAGCCACTAAGATGCAAGAGGTTACTGAAAGTGAAAAAAAAAAAAAAAAAAAACCCTAAGAAAATGCTATTGAGGGGAAAGGATAATAAAAGGATTTTAAAAATACAGAAGATGGTGACTGAAGTTACATTTAAATTTTTGAAGATTAATGTTGAGTGGAACACAAGAAGCTGAAAGAGATTTCCACATTTGATAAATGTAAGAGAAGAAACTGTTAGCGTACATCATATGGTTGCATCTAAATGTACACATGGAAGGCTATATAACCCCTTCCCTGGTATAGACATGTATATACGTTTTTACTGAAAGTGTCTTTTACAGACACAAATAAACACATCTAAAGCATCACATTCAAAGACCAGCTAGAGACGTGTTTATATGTCAATCTTCATTCTTTTTATTCCCTTCTGAGCTTGACATGAGTCCAGTTGTCAACTCATACATCTGGTAGAAGTGTTAGCCACAGTTTGGGTACTTCAAGGTGCCTCAGTTTCTTAGTTATTACATTAAAATCAAATAAAAAATATTGTCTGAAAATAAAATGTTTTTCCAAAAATAATTGGTATTGAAGGCTTTAATGACAACTATTCAATTTTGTTTTTAAATTAAATATGGTAGGACTTAATGACTATTAATTAGTTTTGTTTTTAAGGTGGATATGGAAAATCTTAATTACTGGTTATTTTAAAAAAAAATTTTCTTCTCCTAGATTGGTTGCCCTACTAATGATTTTTTTAAAATCATTTCACAACAAGCAAATCAATAAAGCCACTAAGATACAGGAGATTTTGTGGCAGAGAGCAATGGCCACCCTTGAAATATTAATAATTATAGTAATATAGAATTTTGTTTATAAATGGGAAAAATAATCTGTGGTGAAGTTTGTGCCCAGAGAATCTGTGCTTCGTCAGAATTAATACCAATTGAAAATAAGAGACTGTTTATTTAATCATGAAGAGGGAGAGGTCAGTAATCAGGTTGTATTCTAAGTTTACCAACACCCTAGGGTTTTGTCGCTACCACCGTGTTTATTTAAGTGTGTGTTTGTGCAAAAACAAACAGTCAAAGTTGAAACTGGAATTGGAGCTGGATGAAGAATGTTGACCAGAGAGAGAGAGAGAGAGAGTTATCTGCAATATTGGTGCAATACTGCCAGTGAACCCCTTTATATCCTGATAGTGAAATAATTACGGCAAATATTAAGAACAAAAAGTGTGAACCCAAAAACTATTTCTCTCCTTTCAGAATTATTTGCAATATTTGTTTTTTTTTCTGAACTTTATTTCATATACACTACTTTCTTGTAAAAGAAGCATTATTCTTTTGGACCAATTTCTTTCTTATATACATAATTTTTTTTTGGACTTGAACTGACTTGTTCATATTTGATTTTTCTGCTTGGCCTTATTCTCACCCCAACGAACTTACAGGTAGACCAGCTGAATCTTCCAGGATCTACGATTTGTTATTTGCTCTCCAGGATCAAAAAAAATCACAACGTAGCTGGAAAGTGGAATCGAACAGACATTGTGAACTGGAGACTTTGACGGAACCTCTAATACTGGACCAGGACAGGATCAACGTCCGGTATTGTAGAGTACATTGATCCAGTGGGGTCTGGATACAGATTACAGAGTGTGAAAGAATATGAGAAAAAGAAATACATTATTGAGAAGAGAAAACCAAGTGGAAACAAGGCAAGGAATAACTGAGCAGTAATAAATAAGAACTAGATATTATATCACTAAATATGGTTAGCAAAACGAAAACAGTCTACAACTGTAGATTAAATAAAGGGTTAAGTTTGAAATTCCCTGTAGGTTGTCCAAATTGACAAGCATTTGATGAAGAGCAGAGGACACATCAGTTGAAGTGTTGTGATAATAACGACACAAGTAAAATAGTTTGAGTGTAAATAATGATAATTCCTCATCCTAGAAATTCCGACAGAAAGATTCGAAATGTTGCAATTATATTCTCTGTTGTCCAACATTTTTTGTGCCATTGCCCATTTTCACATCGAGAAATTTTCCCCCACCCACCTGTCTAGTAAATATTTGAAAGCATACAAAAACTATTTGGTAAAAGTTTGTTACTGGTTCATATATTGCCTTTATGATGTAGTAAAAGATACCAAAGAGAGGTAAGAAATAACACTGACTTATTCAGTGACTGCTGCTACTACCATATTAAAAAAACAAATGAAAGTAAAATTGACCCTTAAAAGTATATACCAGGTGTAACAGTAAAATTGTACATCCCACAAAATGCTTAATATCTAAACAATCATTAAACTAATTGAGATTGTTTTTTCCAGGTTTTTAGATAAGACGTTTAGTCATCTTGACATCATTTGTCATAAGAATCACTGAAAACCACTTTGAGTTATTCAGCTAGAAAGAGAACTGGTTACAATTATTTTATCTCAGCTCCACTGTCCTCTTAACTGAGCAATGATGAGAGGAAAAAGATCATTCAGGCCTTCAGTAATAGTACCAACATTCATACTCTGGCTTCCATCTTCAATGTCCATTTAAGAACCATCAAGAGAACGGTGAATAAGTTTAAGAAAGAGGGAATAGAAGAGAGATGATCATTTCAACATACAGCTAAAGAGTTCAATTAGAAAAGGTCCAACTCAATTCAGAATGTTTGGCATTTGAGAGAGGAGTTTTGGCTATGATAGTCCAAAGAGTGGAGAAAAATGACTTGAAAATGAAATTGTACATGAAACCTGTGAGGTAGCTTGATACTTCAGGACAGAAAGTTACAAGGTTAGAGAGGGTGAAGATCAACTTGAATAAGTTGGAAAATGATCTTGCAGTAATATATATTTGAACTCCATTTCATGATCTTCCTATCCTTATCTATGATTATTTAACGATGAACTTGTTACTCCAGGACAGAAAGTTAGAAAATGATCTTGGAATTATATATATATATATATATATTTGAACTTCATTTCATGAGTTTCCAATCCTTAGCTATGATTATTTAATGATGAACATGTCATTTTAGCTTATGATTGATTTCATCACAATTCTTCTGTTAAGCATGGAAAGTTATTATACATTCTTATTGCTCAAAGTAGAGTTCAATAGTGTTATAAAAACCTCAGAGAATTCCAGTAAGATAACTTTAATCATTTCTAAGATAGAATGGTTCAAAGCTTAATCTAACAAAGGGACAACTTTGCTGTTATACCTGGTATATATATATATATAATTATTTATATATTATATGCGCGGTACTTATTAGAAAGCGCTCAATATCAGAGATAGAGCTAACATATTTGGTTGGATAGATGTGAGTTTGTGAGTTTCCTATCCATATATATAAAAAAAGTTTAGTTTTATGATTAGGTTTAGTGTTGCAAGTGTTAATAAAAAAAATTAAATAATTTTTGTTCATAATTATGAAATTAAAAAGAACTTTTTCGTTGTTCTTGGTTTGTATACTCCCCCCCCCCAATGTTATTTCTTCTGAGGAATTATTTAAATGTTAATGACCCTTCTCAAAACTATAAAAAATACTAAAAGATTTGTTGTTTATTGGGATATTTATCCCTTATCTCGGAATGTGATCCACTTATTCCCATTTAGCCCAGTTTTTTTTTTTTTACAGGTTCTTTGTTTATGTCCTTTGAATATTTTTTCAGGTAGCATATTTTGAAATACATTTTTAATATTCAAATTTCTATATGCCCACCCAACAGTTAAAATCACCCATTGGTGGGCAATATCACCCAAGTTTGGACACCCTGATCTAATTGCTTGACTTACTGTGATAGATACATCACTGAGGTAATAGATATTTGTGAACCTAAAATCTACAGTGTAAATCTATTTTGTTCAGTTCTTCTTCTATGTGATAAGTCCCTTCAGGACATAGACGATCATGGCTCTCCATAATTTCCTGTTCTTTGTATCTCTTACTAAATTTTGCCTTTTTGTTATCTTTTCTGAACCTTGCTCCACCATCCATTTATTCAAGCTTGTTAGGTTGTGTTGATTTTTGTGCTGTCCTGCCCTTCAGTTTGTCCTGTGAGTGTCAAATTTTCTAAGCCCTTTTTCCTCATTATGTGCCCTAGAAATTTCAACTATCTCTTATTTACATGCAAACTATTTTCCTTATCTTTGTTGCTAGTATCATGATGTTTCAGCTGTTGTGCTCTCTGGCCTTCAACAGGTACTTGTTGATTCGGGTAACATTTACAGAATTTCAAATATTGACACAAGATCGTTAGGTAGTTTTCTTACTGCTTTCCTATCCTTCTTACCTTCAGTAAATCCTGTAAATTTCAAAGTTTTCAAGCCCTCATTATGTGCCCAAGAAATTTCAATTATCTCTTCCTGATGTTAAGTATAAGTGTCCTTTTTGTTTCCATTTTCTCTAAAACTTTGTTGTTGCCCACATGTTTTCTTGGCGTTTTTCTGTAGAACATTTCTGTTGCTTAAAGACTCTTCTTCATCTGTGAGGAGATTGTGCAGCATTTACTGCCATATAGGAGGCATGATATTACATAGCAGTTCAATACTATTTTCTATGTTTCTAACAATATTTTTTTGTTAACCCAAGCTTAAGGAATCCTACAAGACTGGATGAATCAGCAAGTGAGACAGAGCTGAAGGATCATTTCAGAATCAAATTTTGAAATTGTGGCTGTTGAAATGTGTATCACTTTGTAGACGTGCTTTTCTTGAAAGATTCAGGTCATCAAAAAGATAGCATTTGAGAGATGCCAATCTGAAGAAGAGGAAGTGAGAGTCAGAAGCAATAGATAATTAGTTACTCCCACTTTGTTGGATTGGGTAGTTTTTGCTGAGTTGCCATAACTACCAAAGACACAGATATTTTAAGTAATAAGTAGTCAAGTGCACTGAAATCCAAAGATGGGACAGACAGCAGGAATATCTGTCAATAAGGCAAAAAAATTAAAAAAAAAAAAACGAATAAAAGAAAGAATGGTTTCAGGGTAAAAATTCTCATCCAATATTTCTTGCAAAGAATAGAATGTTTGCACAAAGAATGGTGGAGGTATGGAGAGAGAGAGGGAGAATTGAGGAAAAATGAAGGTAAAATAATAGAAAAGTAAAAAAAAAATATATAAAAAAGGAGGTAGACATGGCAGAGAGAAGCAATGAGAGATAGAAGAGAGGGGTATGCACAGGGTATAGAAGGAAAGAGTGAGGAGCAATGGAAGAATGAGGGGAAATGGGTAGGCACAGAGAAAGAGAGGAGCAAGAAAGAGGAACAAGAGAGAGAGAGAGGAAGAAAGAGGAACAAGAGAGAGAGAGGAAGAAAGAGGAACAAGAGAGAGAGAGAGGGAAGAAAGAGGAGAGAGGGAGGAAGAAAGAGGAGAGAGGAGCTGCACAAAAAGAGAGAGAAAGAGGAGTAGAAGGTGAGAGGAGGAAAAAGAGGAGCAGAAGGTGAGAGGAGGAAAAAGAGGAGCAGAAGGTGAGAGGAGGAAAAAGAGGAGCAGAAGGTGAGAGGAGGAAAAAGAGGAGCAGAAGGTGAGAGGAGGAAAAGAGGAGCAGAAGGTGAGAAGAGCAGAGAGGAGGAGCAGGAGAAAAGATAAAGAAGATCAGTGGCAAGATCCACAGGAGGAAAAGAGTAGAGAAAAGAGAGCGAAAAAGAAGAGCAAGGGCAAGGAGAGGGAGGGAGAAAGAAAAGCAGGGGAGAGAGAGTGAGAAAAAGAAAAGCAAGAGCAAGGAGAGAAAGAGGCACAGGGGCAAGGAGAGAAAGAAAGAGGAGTAGAGGCAAAGAGAGAGAGAAAGAGGAGCCGAGGCAAGGAGAGAGAGAGAGTGTGAAGCAGGGCAACGAGAGAGAGAAAAAGGAGCAGAGGCAAGGAGACAGTGAGAGAAATAGGAGCAGGGGTAAGGAGCAATGAAGAAAGAGCACATGGGCAGGGAGTGATAATGAAAGAAGATCGGTGGCAAGGAGATAGAAAAAGGAGCAACAGAAAGAGAAAGAAAGTACAACAAGGGTAAAAAGAGAGAAAGAAGATCAGTGGCAAAGAGAGAGCAACAGAAATGATAAAGAAGAATTAAATTATTACAGAAGAGATAAGATATAACAACAGCAAAAGAAGTGAAGAGGAGAATGCACAGATTTCTTACAAGACATTGAAGATAATAATGATGATCATGATCATCATGATCACCGGCAAAGAAAAACCTCCGATAAAATCTGGAAACAAAAAATTTCCCCAAGAATTCAGTTGTCAGCAAAGACAAATCTCCAGAGAAATTTCTTACATTTAGAGATTATGCATAAAAATCTCAAGTGAAAACCTTAAAAACAAGAAGAAATTAGCCGAGAAAGAAAAAGAAGTTACAAATGAGGTCAAAACATGTCAGCATGCTTTTAAAATGTAGGGAAAAAAAAATCTTGTTTCATATTCGTTGTGTAACCACATAGCTTCCTCAGGCTAAAGGCTTCAAACACAAGTCATAAGGCAAGCAAACATCACTATTGATGTACACAAGGATATAAATAACTGGTTTTGTGAGCCTCAGTGAATCATGTAATTTGCAAGGGGATAAAACTGAAGTGAATCCAGTTAACTGTGTAATTTATAAGCACTATGAATTCAGGAAGCCAGTGACATAATCATGTCGAAGTTGGTTAAAATGATACTTCTTAGATGATATATCTGACAAAGTAGCCATGCAGCATTAGGAAAAAGAAAAAAAGATTGGCAAGACGATTCTTCTTGGATACAGAAATAAGTCTGGACAGTGCTTTTATAAAGCATGAAGCCAGAATCCATCTTGCATGTTTATAAATCTACCCTCTGACCATGCATTGAATATTGCTGTCATATCTGGTCTGGTGTTCCTGCTATATATCTCGAGATTCTTAACAAAATTTAAAGAAGAGTCTGTAATGTTATCAGTCGTGACTTGACTTCAGTAACTTTCCCACCACTGATGTGACTTCCTTCTGTCTTTCTGTAAATATTTTCATGGCAATTGTTCTAAGGAGCTCTCTTTGGTAGTTTGACTGTATGAATTTAAGTATGCTACTAGATTAGCAACTGTTATACTGGAACACACCTATTCTATTGTTAATAGACTCTCCCACCTATAATAATTAGGAGTAGTAGCAGTCGCCGAGTTGGCAGAGAGTTGGTCAGTCAGTCGATGTCGGACAACCATTAGTCAGATATTAAAGTATCAGCTACCCCAACTAGATTACTGAATCATTACCTATTATATCAAGTTCCTAACATTTTGTACATCGAACCTATTTTAGGACCGACTTAGTACAAATACAAGCCTCCACTGTGAAACCTCTACATAACAGCAACCAACTCCCAATCCTTTCACTGTTGAAATGGCTGATGTAACCATAAATTCTAACAGTTTCTTTTCTCACACTTCTCATCTTTAAAACTTTCTTCTGACTTCATGCTTCCCTACCACTTACGATCCTCAAAAATGTAAATGCATTGTCAATTGCCATCTTAAGTCTTCTTGAAAACCTATCCTTTCTCCTCACTAAAATCTTCTCATACTCTTTCACTACCAGTAACCCATGGCGTCTTAATGGCATTATCAACCTTGCTCGGGGTGAAATGATTAAAAAAAAAAAATTATACAGAAAGCTGTTTCTAGTTAATCAAACCATGTCCTTTCATGACTCTCCGCAACTTTCTGCCCTCTGTTACTATGAGAGATAGTTTCTCCTTCATGACTCTTTTGTTGCTTTGTGAAAAGTAGGTTACAGACTCTGTTCGTCTCTTTCAAAGGAAAAGAGTTTGTAACCTACTTGTCTTGCCTTTAATATGTCCTCTGAGATAAATTTTTCAAGCCTTCTCTCCCAATTATTCATGCCAAAAATTTCAGCTGTCTCTTTCTGATTGTCATGTATAGTTTCTTCATAGTTGCTATTCTTAGCATTTCCTTGTTTATCATGCAGTCCATTGTAATCTCAAAATTTGTCAGTAGAACCACATCTCTCTCACATTGTCTTTTCTTCATTTGTGATGAAATTGTCTGGCATTCACTACCAGAAAGGAGATATTACATAGTTCAACATTATTTCCTTCTAAGGACATTTTCTAATCCCTAATACTTTGCTTAGAATCTAAAAAGCAACTTCTGCTATTACCTCAGGATTTTATGATCCATTTTCCATTATCTATTATGATACAATGCAGACAGTTAAATTCCTCCTTGATTTTGACAACTCTGTTACAAAACTCACAACTTGGGCAGCCCCTTTTACTAACAACCAAACATTCTGTCTTCTAACAGATAATCATTGGTCCTTTCCTAGTTTAACTTGTCTAACAGTTTTTTCAGTTTTCTTTTTGAATACTGTAATTCCCTATGTATAATGTGCATTTTTTTCTAAAAAAAATAATAAGCAAAATTAGGGGTGTATATTATGCACAATTACAAAAAAAAAAAAAAATCTTCACTAAATTTCCGTTTCATAGGTCGATTTCAAGTGCAAAATGACTACTAACATATGACAATTTGACACTAACATTCGGCGATTGCGACCCTATAAGGATGTCAAATACAATCATATGTACCTAACAATACTTACAAATATAAAATAAAATAAGAATTATCATAAAACTAAATTAGAATAATATTATGCTATGTTTAAAACCATTTTTTGTGAAAAACTACTTACAGATTCGGTAGATTGTACATTTTATCGAACAAAAACAGGTTAATGAGTCTGTGCAGTAGGCACAATATAGGTATTTCCGTTTCCTTTTAGAATCGTGATGATCGGAAATTTTGATAAATATCTTCAGTTACAGCTTGCATGAGAGTAGGAAATGCTGGCCGTAATGAAATTGGAGAAGTACAATTTATAGGGTTTGAGTACTGTTATGGTGACCTATCTACATTAGTATGAACCCTTCCTCCTTCATAAATACTAACCTGCGAGACTTCCAAAGCAAGGCAGTCGGGACGCAGTGTAAGCTGATAGTTTGGACAGACACTTCTATCTGCTGACTAATAACACTCTTATTTTGTAAATATGTTCTGTTATTTCAATTCACTTGATCAACCTACCTTCTTCTTCCTGTGTCTTTCTTTCTGGCCACTAACAGGCCACAATTGCCAAACAAGAGGTGTGCATTATGCGTGAGTAGAAGCATTTTCCCACATGTTCAGCACAATTTTAGGGGTGTGTATTATGGATGAAGGCATTTTATACATGGGAATTACAGTATGCCATCAACAAACTTTAATCTGCACAGCTTATGTTGTTACAGTTGTTTGCCAATAATAAATCTCAGTAGGCTTCAAGTCTTCTTAGAATCATCTTAGTGTAAAAATTAAATAAATGCAAGCTATTGTCCTTATCATTTTTGTTGTTATCACAATGTTTCAGCTGTGCTCTCTGGCCTTCATCAGGTGTATATCATATTGAGTAACCTACAGGGAATTTTGAATTGAACCATTTATTTATGAGGTAAAGTGTTCTCAGCAATAGCCTAATGGATTAAAATACTAATTGGCAAATTTGGGGACATAGTAATTGTAAGTTCAATTCATGGGCTGGGAAGAGTGTACTTGGACAGTAGAAATGAAGCAAGTGATCTGTATTAAACTAAGAATTAGACAAGATATCCATAGACATGAGAAGTGGTACAAGAAGAGTCTATCACTGGAGATTAAATAAAGGGTGCAGTTTGAAATTCGCTGTAGGTTACCCAGATTGACATAAACCTGAAGAAGGCCAGAGGTTACAATGACCAAAATGTTGTGATGACAACAAAGGACAGGAAAATAGTTTGAATGTAAATAATGATAACTCATCATCTCAGAAATTCAAACAGAAACTGAATGAATCTGCTGTGGAGAATCCTTGTTGGACTTTCTCTTTTTTTGTACGTTCACTAAATATGTTTTTTATTAGTTTGTTCCCAGCAGAGTTTACAGATTTTTTAATTCAGAAACAAATTCAGATTTTTATAATGAAAAGAAATATCCATTAGCAGCCAGCGTACTTGACAGGTGATTCATTAAATAAGCATAAAGAATTGCCGAAATCAGAAGTCGTTGGAACTGAAACCAGAGAGAATGGTTTATTTCTGCTTTCTCCATGAGTCACTTTCATTTGCAACTTTATCCTTCATTTCTAAATTCTAAAAATAACCATAATGTTCTCGTATTAATTTTTAAATATTTCATCTTTATGCTGCATTTTATTGCAATTCCCAGATCATCATTTCATAAATTTCAATAAGTAGCAAGAATCAAAAATACATTAAAGATTTGTATCGCTTATCCTTGAAAGCCATCTTAATATGATGGTTACCTCCATTGAAGAAATTCAGACAACTTAAGACTATTACTACTTGGTGGAAAAGCAAGAGAAATAAGATGAAAGAAATACTAGTGAAAAATGAATAATAATTGCCAAGGCTTCATCTAAGAAATTCAGACAACTTAAGACTATTACTACTTGGTGGAAAAGCAAGAGAAATAAGATGAAAGAAATACTAGTGAAAAATGAGTAATAATTGCCAAGGCTTCATCTAAGAAATTCAGACAACTTAAGACTATTACTACTTGGTGGAAAAGCAAGAGAAATAAGATGAAAGAAACACTAGTGAAAAATGAATAATAATTGCCAAGGCTTCATCTAAGAAATTCAGACAACGTAAGACTATTACTACTTGGTGGAAAAGCAAGAGAAATAAGATGAAAGAAATACTAGTGAAAAATGAATAATAATTGCCAAGGCTTCATCTAAGAAATTCAGACAACGTAAGACTATTACTACTTGGTTAAAAAGCAAGAGAAATAAAATAAAAGGGATTCTAGTCAACAAATAATGCTTCATCTTCATCTAATTTAAAATACTGTCCACTATTATCAATTATTATCAGTCATTTTCATTTATTTTCTATTAGATGAATCATTGTCAGACAACATTAATTTTTTTAGCATTTATTTTCATCTTCCTTTTTTTTCTTTAGATGAAACATTTTTAATTCTTGACATAGTTTCTTTCATTTTGATTCCCCACCACCACTGATGTCCAGCAAATGAAGCCTAACTGAAGTAGTACTGGTTGCTCAGTCAATGAATTCCAAATGTTTCCTTATGAGAAAATGGCTAATACTACCATTGGAGAGGAGGTGAACAGATACTACACTTGTTATTTGCTTGTCCTCCTACAGTGATGAGGTATGGTACAATGTTGGTTTCAAGTTGGGAGTCCTGGCACTTGCACATGGGCCAAGGCTAAAAACTGTCTAGTTCCACAACCTGCAATGAGGGTACTGCTGTTGCAGGGTGAAGCCAAGAAATAGGGGATCAAATTACAACTTTAGTAATTTAAAACTGCTCTCTCATTTTATATCCACTGTTGAATTATCGATAATCTGCAAGAATGTTTCTATAACGAAGCAGACAAACTTGTTTTTATTGATAATAATCTAAGGAGCAAAAAAATATTTGGTGGGAGGGTGCTAATCAAATATTGATTACCGACGAGGCATATTTTCAAGAGGAGAGAAATATGGTGATTTTCTAAGCATAGCTTAAATGTGGCACAAGGCCAAAAGTATGGGGCATAAAGTGAGGATCAAACTTACTACTCTGTCATAATTGTTCTAGTGAAACAAGTTTACTAAAGAAATATGTACAGTATTTCTTTGATTATCCAGAGACCTTGGGACAATGTCTGAAAAAATATATTCAGATAATTTAAAATTCTGCTTAATTAAACACTAAAATTATTGAAAGAGAATAATGAACAAAGCCATTTTCTGAAAGAAATTTAACATTTACTTCATCAAATAGCATTTTAAAGCACTTTGTTCAAGGTTTTGTCCAGTTTATTTTTATGAAAAAAATGTATCAATTCTTGTCTGTTTCCGGCAGGACTTGTGTTTTTCTGCTGCTAATTCTTCAAGCCGGATTAAAGCAGATGTATTTGTAGGGATAGCTTCTGGTTGAAAGAGCAAGCAACTTAAATATTTGTCAAACATAATCTTTGCTTCAGTGTTTGGAATTGAAATTTTGAATATTGAGTTTCGTTTTCTAAATTCTCAAAATGCTTGTCTGAGATGAAACATTACAATAGGTTTAGCTCGGATAATTGAAAAATGTGTGGATGATTTCAATTTTTCTCTTCCTTTCATGTGTAAATAATCGAAGAAGTACTGTCAAATATGCACTAGCAAAAAAATGGGGGATTTGATTGTTACTCAAAATTAATGTGAAATCCATTCCCCACATTTTGGCAAATGTATTTATATGGAAGCCAAGAAATAAGAGATCAGATTACAACTAATCAGTTATATAAAATTGGTCCCTCATTTTATATCCACAAGTTAATAAATTATAATCTGCAAGAATACTTCTTAGCATAGAAAAATATGTAGAATATTGCAAAAAATGAGGGATTTGATTGTTACTCAAGATTAACATGAAGTCAACTCCCCACTTTTTGGCAGATGGATTAATTTTGTGGTCGATATATAAGGGATCAGTTTACTACTTGTCTATTATATAAAACTGGTCCCTCATATCCATAAGTTAATTGATAATCTGTAATAATGTTTCTTAGCAGAGTGATATATATAGAATGACAAAAAAATAGGGGATTTGATTGTTACTCAAGATCAATATGAAATCAACTCCCCACTTTTGGCAGATGGATTAATTTTGTGGTCGATATATAAGGGATCAGTTTACTACTTGTCTATTATATAAAACTGGTCCCTCATATCCATAAGTTAATTGATAATCTGTAATAATGTTTCTTAGCAGTGTGATATATATAGAATGACAAAAAAATAGGGGATTTGATTGTTACTCAAGATCAATATGAAATCAACTTCCTACTTTTTGGCAGATGGATTAATTTTGTGGTCGATATATAAGGGATCAGTTTACTACTTGTCTATTATATAAAACTGGTCCCTCATATCCATAAGTTAATTGATAATCTGTAATAATGTTTCTTAGCAGAGTGATATATATAGAATGACAAAAAAATAGGGGATTTGATTGTTACTCAAGATCAATATGAAATCAACTCCTCACTTTTTGGCAGATGGATTAATTTTGTGGTTGATATATAAGGGATCAGTTTACTACTTGTCTATTATATAAAACTGGTCCCTCATATCCATAAGTTAATTGATAATCTGTAATAATGTTTCTTAGCAGTGTGATATATATAGAATGACAAAAATAGGGATTTGATTGTTACTCAAGATCAATATGAAATCAACTCCCACTTTTTTTGGTAGATGGATTAATTTTGTATCGATATATAAGGGATCAGTTTACTACTTGTCTATTATATAAAACTGGTCCCTCATATCCATAAGTTAATTGATAATCTGTAATAATGTTTCTTAGCAGTGTGATATATATAGAATGACAAAAAAATAGGGGATTTGATTGTTACTCAAGATCAATATGAAATTAACTCCCTACTTTTTGGCAGAAGTATTTATATGGAGGTCAAGAAATAGGGAATCAGATTACAAAATGTTAATAATTTAAAATTGGTCCCCCACTTTATACCATTAGGTAATTATTGATGAGCCATAAGAATGTTTTCTGTTTTTTTTTTTTCTTTAAATAATTCTTCACTCAATACAAGGCTCATGCCTGTCCTGGGTAAGACGATAAACTACATCCAACAGCAAGGCCTCTGATCAGGAGGTTTT